TTGAACAACATTTTAAGGAGTCATTAAAAAACAGGCAACAGAACACCAATGATCTGCACTCCTGTGTCCTCAGATGGTGGAGTGGGCAGGGCTTGTCAAATGACTCATTTACAAAATCATTGCTGCTTGTGAAAATTACCACTGTTCTCCCCTCCCCCACTCAGCCTTTGACAGCCTGGGGAGACAACTGAAAGCTCATTGCCTAGTCTGATCCCAGCCTGAGACAAAGACCTAGTTTGCTCCCCCTGGGTAGGGTCCAAAATGCTAATTGGTATCAGCTGCATTAAATCAGTGTGTGGTGGGGGAGGGGCTAGCAGCTGCATCATCGTTGGAGAAACCCCAAAGGGAGCCTGCCTTTCCTCACCAAAAATGCCTCTCTCTCGTTTCAAGTTGCTCTTATTTTTTTCATTTGTTTATATTTGCAGTCTCCTAAAGAAGAGCATGAAGGACTGGGTAGCTTGGGCTCAGCCCAGACACGTGGGATGTTGAACCTTCCTTCATGCAGTTTTGCCAATTCAACTTTCTTTTCGTATGTGGAATTTGTTGCTATTTTAAAATTTCAGTTTTAGCTGGCCAGGTCTGTTTTCGGCTATATCTTTTTTGCCTAAATGATGAGACCAGATGGGGATAAAATGCCTTTTTTTTTGAGTTGGAGTCTTACTCTGTCACCCAGACTGGAGTGGCGCATGCTCCCTGGCCACCGCAGCCTCGCCCTGCTGGGCTCCAGCGATCCTTCCACCTCAGCCTTCCAAGTAGCCAGAACTACAGGTGCGCGCTACCACGCCTAGCTAATTTTTATTTATTTATTGTAGAGACGAGATCTCACCAAGTTGCCCAGGCTGGTCTCGAACCCATGGACTCAGGCAGTCCTCTCACCTCAGCCTCCCAAAATGCTGGGATTGTAGGTGTGAGTCACTGCGCCCGGCCTAAAATGTCTTTTTAAATACAGATTTCAGTTCTACGTACTGCTTTAAAAGAAAAATGCACAGCAGGACACAGAGTAATCTTAGATCAGTGAGAGATTCAGTGGTAGTGGTGGTGGTATGTGTGTATATATTTAAATGTTGGAATGAGACGCCAAACTTGTTTTTAACTAATCACTGAAGGGGGATTAATACCCAGAAGTTGATTCTGAGGTAACATAACTCTAAAAACAACATAAAATACTGTATAATAAACTTGAGTCATAATTGGGATTCCAGTTATAGTTGGTTCAAGGCCATTGGCAGATTCTGTTTTTCTGATTTTTTTTTCTCTATCGTGGGCACTCATAATTAGACAGTAAATGACAATTACAAGTGCTAACTGCCTTTTTATAAGTTGTGTATTACTGGTCTATTTAAAAATAATAAAAGAAAGAAGAAATTTTCAGTGTATATATAAACTTTATCATAAAACAAAATCTGAGAGGAGACAGTGATTTGCCCTCAGTATTGTTGGATTTTAGTTTTATGTGCTTTTAAGACTTGACTGTTTAAGAGCTGAGAAATACTCTGGCAAGTGACACTGATCTGATCACGGTATTTCTAGATCACATTTGGATATTTCAGTTATACTAGAAAAACTGTTGCCAGACTTTATTGTATTTATGCTGTCCTTGTATTTCCCTGATTGTAAGATACAGCCCAGTTTTGAAGATGTTACAATGTATCTTATGGTTCATGGAGCGTCATATTTTCATTACATAAAATAATGTGTCTCTTGTTCAGGGGCATTTAAGATTCAGTGAAATACCTTGTGCCATGATAATTTGCCAATAATATTTACCAATATGCATATTCAGTGTCTTTTACCCCAGTGGACAGAACATTTAAGCCTGTAAGAACTTTAAAATGTGTACTTGATTTTTAACTTAGCGAGCTCTGAAAATATCAAGTGTGCATATGAAGATCTCAGCTCTTCTAATAGAATATGAACTAGTTAGATCCTAGAAGACACTGGTTTGTGTCACTAAAAGAAAAAAATAGATGGAGATTAGTAAAAATACTCATAATTCTTAATTATTGCCCAGGAAGGTTCTTATGGGAGAATTTTAAGTAGTATTTGCTTTCTGTCAACAAGTAAAACCTGTTGGCAGAGTGTGATAGGGAACAATGACCCTGGGAATAAATTAGCAACTATGGGGATTGGAGTGAGGCAGGGGTGAGAGATGGATTGATAAAACAAGTCTGAATAAAATTCAGTAAAATTTACATACTGCCTGAAGCGATTGGCTGCTGTTACTGCAAGAAGAAAATTGAAATCAATGTTTTGATCTTTAAAAAATTCAAGTTCAGTATTGTTCTTTGTGTGTAGTCTTTATACCCCAAATCCTTATAGGTTTACTGATTTTGGATAAAAGAAGAAAATCGGACAGCTCACCTCTCTTCACCCAGCTGCAGCTCAGTGTAAAGAAAGCAGGAGGTTGGGCTTTCCAGGGCACGCCTTGTCCGACTGCAGGCCCCGTGCCTTTCCCAGGAAGAACACCTCGTGCCTTCTCCATCGGGCATGTCTGTGGCCATTGCCATGTGCTGACTTTTTTTGGGAGCCTGCCTATCCTGACAGGCTTCATTAGGCTGTCCTGGGCAGGCCAGGAGGCCTTTCAGCGACCCCCAAGTACTGTTGAGAGCGAGTTGCCCTGTGTCAGGAAAGAGCAGGCGAATGGGAAGGCCTCTGACATCGCCATGCTCTTTTGAAGTCTGTAAACACTGTACACTTAGGTGACACTAAATCCATAAAAAATATTTTTTTCTTTAATAATAAGTTACCTTTAGCTTATTATAACTTTTTTTACTTTATAAAGCTTTTGAATTTTTGAGAACTTTTTATTCTTTTGTAATAACTCTTAGCTTAAAAACATTGCACAGCTGTATAAAAATTAGATATATATATTTATATATAGATATACTTATATATATTTATTTTACTTTTTGAACTTTAAAATTAAAAAGTAAGACACACACACACATGAGCCTAGGCCTACACAGGGTCAGGATCATCAGTATTACTGTCTTCCACCTCCACATTTTGTCCTGTTGGAAGGTCTTCAGGTGAGTAACAAGTGTGAAGCTGTCATCTCCTAGGATAACAATTGCTTCTGGAACACCTGAAGGACACTTCTGAGTCTGTTTTACAGCTGTTTTTCCTCCAAAATAAGTAGGATTGTACTCTAAAATAACAATAAAAAGTATAATATAGTAAATACCTAAGCCAGTAACAAAGTTGTTTATTATTATTGTCAGGTATTATATACTACACATAATTTTATGGGCTGGATTTTCATGACTGGCAGCTCAGTGTTCATACCAACATAGCCACAAAGTATGTGTATATTGTGCTGTAATGTTATGAAGGCTACAGTGTCACTAGGTGATAGGCATTTTTAAACTTCATAATCTTATGGGATCACAGTTGTGTGTGTGTCCCCCTTCATTGACTGAAGTGTGTGGTGCATGGCTGTACCATAATATTCCAATGTTTATGTCTTGGAACTGAGCTGGAAATCCACCATCTTGAGAATCACTGTTCTAAGAGGACTTAATGTCTTGTTTTTTTTCTTAAAACAGTAATGCACAACTGAAATTTGTATTTTAAAAAGACGTTTTTACCCCCTTCTAGTCTCATCACTAGTATCTATTGAACAATGTTGCAGCTTTTATCTTAAAGTATAACATTTGCAAATCGAGCTTCTTTTTGGTCTGCAGTACCTTAAGAGTGGTTCTGGAGTGCTAGGCTAAAGCAGTGGACTTCTTTAAAGTTGTGTGTGCTTGTGCATGTGCTCTTTGTAGCTCGTGCACACACCCATCTAGATAGTCTACTTAGAAACTCCTAGTCTTGCCTGAAGAGGAAAGAACAACAGCTATAAGTGAAATGAGTGCATCAGTGTAGAAAAGTAAGGAAGTTTTAGGGAACCTGCCATCTTTTACTTTTGAAAATACATGCAGTGGAGGGAATTCTAGTGATCTGGTCATTAGATTTTTCTCAGAGATCTTACACTGTTCTTTTCTAACCAAGCATGTTTTCTCTTTTCCTGCACAGTCTCTCTTCATTCTCACTCCGACTCTGTTTCCCTTCATTCTCACGTTGACTGTGATGGAAATCTTCCTTACCCCGACTCTTTGCAAGTTGTGTGTCATTTGTGCAACATGGAGCAGAATGCCCACGCTGGCTGGTGCAGAGTTTCCTCCCTAGGTGTTTACGAGAGAGAGGCAGAGACCACAGACTTTTCAGCCCGCGTCATTCACAAGGGCATCTTGTATTTGTTTTCCAGACCTGTGTCACCCTCGTTTCCTTTATCCCCCTCCCCCATCTTCTCACATAAACTCTGAGTTTCTTCCTCTGCTTACCTTACTTTAATATACCATGAGACTAGGGGAGGAACCAACTCTTACACAACTGCTGAGTGATGTTTTCTGACTGGGGCTTGCTGGACTCACCTGAACCTCTTTTCAGGTGCGTTCACATCAAGGAGCTGCTTTGTGGGCCTGTATTCATCGCCAGTCATCTGCCTGTGGCATTAGAGGGGGCACTGTTGTGTGGGGTTGTTAGAGGCGAACCTTTTCTGGCCTTAGGTGGACCAGATGACTTGTATTTGCAAATGTTTTCAGAGAAGAAATGGCCTTTTCTAGTGATTCGTTGAAATAGTGTCAGTCATTTCCCATTTTGGTTCCGCTTTCACAGATGAGCAAATCGAAGTTCAGAGAAGTGGAGTGAGTTACCTTAGGTCCCAGTGGGGAGAGCCGGCTGACTCTCCGCTCACCTCACGGTCCCTGCTGCTCCCAGCCCGTGTCCATCCCACCTCCTGCGCTTGGTGCTCTTCTTGTGTAGCCTGTAATCACACTGCTCAGAATGAGTCCTCTGTGACGCCCAGTTGCTGACAAGAAGATAAAGTGAATTTACATGTGCCCCTGCTATGGGGAGACTGGGAGCTTGTGTTCCTCTCTTTCACTGCTGTATGTGTGTGGGGAAAGTAAAGGCGTGCCCATCATTCAGTAGCCACACATGTTATTGTCATTCTTCAGGATGAAGAGGAAGAAATCAAACTGGAGATAAACATGCTGAAGAAATATTCTCATCATAGAAATATTGCGACATATTACGGTGCTTTCATTAAGAAGAGCCCTCCAGGACATGATGACCAACTCTGGGTAGGCAGATGTTTCTTGCTCACTGTGGACTTTCCTCTGGGGTGGTATCATTAAGGGTATTGAGGACTGGAGCGGGGAGAGGAAAGAAAAGCAATGAAGGGGGGCAGTGGCTGGTAAATTCTGAAGACTTCCTTGGCCTGTGTCTCTTGGCGAAGAACCGCTGAATGTTTATTTTGGTGTTGATTTCACGTTGCATAAACAAAGTTAACTTTGTGTTTCAGAAATAAAAGGCACCTTCTAGAGGGAATTGTAACCAAATAGCATGAAAATTAGGAGTTTGAAAGCAATAAAATAACTTCATGAGAACCACTTAATATGAAGGTTCAATTATTTGCATCTTTTCTTCCCACCTGGAAGTGAGACATTTCAAAAAAACAAACTTCTGTCAGTAACTTAATAACATTAATGATAGTAGCTAATTAAAACAGTAAACTCTGGGGAAACTTCTGATATTGAAACATTCAACTTTATCTCTTTTTGAACACATTCAAAATGATGACTTTGAAACACTGTTGGACCTGTGGTTGTCATATTAGTTATGCTCAAGGTATTGAACTTACAAAGCAAGGAGATAGGTTAAGACTTTTCCTGATGTTTTTCTTAAAAGAAAACATTTGCAAAATTAAAAGGAAAAAAATTACCCATATCACCATTACCCAAATCTAATCATAATTATTAGCTTTTTGTTTTTTTATGAGTCAGAGTCTTACTCTGTCACCCACACTGGAGCACAGTGGCACACTTACAGCCACCTCAGCCTCATACTTCCAAGTATGAGCTTAAGCAATCCTTCTGCCTCAGCCTTCCAAGTAGCTAGAACTACAGGTGTGTGCCACCATACCTGGCTAATTTTTTTTTTAACTGTAGAGACGAAATCTTGCCAAGTTGCCCAGGCTGGTCTCAAACCCCTGGGCTCAGGCAATCTTCTTGCCTTTGCCTCCCCAAGTGCTGGGGTTACAGGCGTGAGCCACCACACCCAGCCATTATTAACATGTTAGAGTAACTCAATTCAGTTTAATTAGATGCTTTAAACGTATCATTGTGATCATATTGTTCAAACATTTAGATATTGTAAATAGTGCATTTTTTAAAAATTGGGTTAACTGTTTAAAAATAACGTTTTTCTTTTGTGTTAAACTCAGTTAATATAAAATAGTTTGAGGATTATAATGTGTGAAAAATGGAACAGTTTTTAGGCAAAATGAGAAAGAGTATGAGAGAGTATTTGAGGCAGATTTTTGATAATTGGGATATGATGAAAAACAAAATGTTCCTTCTATACCCATGTGCTTTTGAGAGAAAGTGAGCACCTCAGAACCATGACGCTGGGGTGTGCTGTAGATGTCAGGCACACTTAGTTTCGTGGACCGGATATACATAGCGAATATATTGGACTATGAAATGAACTCACAGGTATTTGAGTGCCTCCAAGGTGACCCCATGTCCAGGTCTGTAGGATAAAGGGGGCGTGGCAGTTAGACTGGTTTTGTTTTGTTTTGTTTTTTGACATCTCTAGGCTGTGTAATGAACTCTGGGATATACTAGATACCTGTCTTATCTGCCTTGTAGCTTGTTATGGAGTTCTGTGGAGCTGGGTCCATTACAGACCTGGTGAAGAACACCAAAGGGAACACACTCAAAGAAGACTGGATTGCTTACATCTCCAGAGAAATCCTGAGGGTAAGACAAACGGGGCTGCAGTGCCCCTCTCGTGGTCTTGTGCCTTCTTTTTCATGTTCCTAGCCCCGGGTATTTCTTTGCATTAATATACACATATAGATTAATCCTCTTTGACTGCCAAGATTCTGTATAGCTTTGGTAGTTTAAGCTGCATCATAATTTTTTTTTTTGAGTTGGAGTCTCCTCTGTTGCACAAGCTGGAGTCAGCAGCATGCTGATGACCACCCCGCTGTCAACCTGTTGGGTTCAGGCGATCCTTCCGCCTCAGCCTTCCAAGTAACCAGAACTACAGGTGTGCACTACCATACCCGACTAATTTTTGATTTATTTTGTATGTGAGGTCTCGCCAAGTTTCCCAGACTGGTCTTGAACCCGCGGGCTCAGGCAATCCACCAGGCTTAGCTTCCCAAAGTGCTGGGGATTATAGACTGAGCCGCCTATCCCTGCCTAATTTTTTTATCTGTTATAGAAATGAGGTCTCGCCAAGTTGCCCAGGCTGTTCTCAAACCTGCGGGCTCAGGCAATCCCCTCACCTTAACCTCCCAAAATGCTGCGATTATAGGCTTGAGCCACCTTACAGGCTTGAGCCACCGTGCCTGGCCTTTTTTTTTTTTTTTTGAGTTGGAGTCTTACTCTGTTATCCAGGCTGGAGTGCAATGGCATGCTCACGGCCACACCAGCATTGACCTGCTGGACTCAGGCAATCTTTTAGCCTCAGCCTTCCAAGTAACTGGAACTACAGGTGCACACTACCATACCCAACTAATTTTTAAAAAATTTTTATTTATTGTAGAGATGAGGTCTCTCCAAGTTGCCCAGGCTGGTATTGAGCCTATGGGCTCAGATAATCCCCTCACTTCAGCCCCCCAAAGTGCTGGGATTACAGGGCCACCGTACCTGGCCTGTCATAATTTGACTCCAGCAAGTATCTAAAGATGGTGGACTTGAACAAACAATAGCTTTTCTATATTTTTCTAAATTCACCTTCTAGGTCATTGCAACATACCTACTGGCAGCTTTCCTTTGGAATTACAATGTAAACCAGAGTAGAGGGGGAAGATAAATAATTTCTATAACTTTTTTTTTTTTTTGAGTCAGAGTCTCACTCTGTTTCCTAGACTGGAGTGCCCTGGCATGCTTATGGCCACCACAGCTTCAACCTGCTGGGCTCAGGCAGTCCTTCCGCCTCAGCCTTCCAAGTAGCTGGAACTACAGGCATGCGCCACTACACCTGACTAATTTTTGGATTTACGGTAGAGACAAGGTCTCGCCAAGTTGCCCAGGCTGGTCTTGAACCCCTGGACTCAGGCAGTCCGCTTACCTCAGCCTCCCAAAGTGCTGGGATTACAGGAATGAGCCATGGTCCCCAGCTATAACTATTGTTTTTGTAGGAGTTCTGTGTATAAGCTTATACATCAATATTAATGGTGCTGAATGCTATTTTTCAAAGTCTTCTTGTGGATTTTGGCATTAGCTGTTAGAATCTGTTGCAATATTTATGAAGAAAAAGTCAAAGTAACTCAAACGTGCCGAAAGGAAAAAAACAAGCAGCCCTATTAAAAAGTGGGCAAAAGCTATGAATAGATACTTCTCAAAAGAAGACGTATGAAGCGGCTAACAGATACATTAAAAAAGTTCAGCCTCACTAATCATCAAAGAAATGTAAATTAAAAACCACATTGAGATACCACCTAACTCCAGACAGGATGACCATCATCAAAAACCCAAAACAACAAATGCTGGAGAGGATGCGATGCGGAGAAAAGGGAATGCTTCTACAGTGTTGGTGGGAGTGTAAACTAGTATATCTTCTGTGCAAAACAGTGTGGTGATTCCCCAAGATTCTAAAACTCAACCTTCCATATGACCCAGCAATCCCCCATCTGGCAATATACCCAGAGGAACTCAAATCGTTTTATGAAAAAGATACCTGCACATGCATGTTTATTGCAGCCCTATTCACAGTAGCAAAAACATGGAACCAACTGTGCTGCCCATCAAAACTGGACTGGATTTTTAAAATGTGGTACATACACACAATGAAAAACCATGCAGCCATAAAGAAGGATAAAGTTATGGACTTTGCAGCAATTTGTATAGATTTAGATTCTATAATACTGAGTGATCTATCACAGAAAAAAAGAACTGAGTGCCACGTGTGCTCACTTATAAGCGAACCCTGAACATTTATCATAATACTATAAGAAAGGGATTGGCAGTAGCAGGAAATTGCTGTGGGTGGAGGGGGGAGCACATAACATCAATAAGGGTACATAATCTCAAACCAGGTGAAATGGGAACCAAAGGGTGATCCAGAGTTTACTTGTAAAATGGCCGCTTATGTACCTAATCCTGAATGGTGCCCCACATCTTTAAAATAAATAAATTTAAAATGTTTTAAAAAATCTCATTCTTATGTTTGATGTTATTTGCAGCCATTTAGAAAACTGGCAAGTAATTTTAGAGTAATATAGATATGTAATGTACATACACATACCTTTCTTTCTTATAATTCCAATGTGGGATTTCTCAAGCAGAGAACTAGCTTTTAGCATAGTGTTTGAGGCATCAAACATATTTAGCCATCAAAGACAATTTACATGTTTCTATACAGGGAAAGAAGCATTGTTTGCCATCACATGTCAATGTATATGTAACCATTTTCCATCATTGGTCATGAAACATTTAAAAGAAGCCCAGGTTGTTTGAGGCCCATCATCAACTTGTATGGTAGGTGAATGGGCACCTTTTTGAGATGCAGCAAACATTTTCACCTCAGTGGGCTTCTACAACAAGAGCTTCCTTCACTTGCATCTCATTTAGGATGCAAGTTTTTCTTTGTGACAAAAGTTTAAATTATTAACCAACAGAAGCAAATACCTTGGAGAATTAGTGTGTCACACACTAGTGTATGTTTATTAGAGGAGTTACTAGAAGTTGGTTTTGGTAAAGAAAAAAGCAAGATGGTAAGCTGGAGGTGGGGATTCATGGGCAAGTGAGGCAGCTGCCTCCAGGCAGACACCTTGGGTTCTCAGACACAGTTGGGGGTAGGTAGTTTTTCTAGTGGCAGGACTTCTCCTCAGTCCTTAGTTGGTGCTGGATGGAGACATTTCTTTAAGATCCTCAAAATGGTGAGAGTCATTGACGTGTAGGCCTCAGACATCAGTAGAATTGTTTTCTTGGGCCAGCCCACTGAAACCCTCTGGACCAAGAGGCTTACCAGCAAAGCCAGTGTGTCCTCAGCCCACTTCCATGTTTATGTTCCACACAGCGGTGTTCTCATTTTGCTTGAAACCTGTTTTCATCGTGTGTATGGGAGCTTAGAGCTTTCCGTAACCAAGACTAAGGGACTGCCTTTGACTGCTCCTTTGTACTGTGTCCAGGAATGAGATACAGCAAAAGAAAAAAATGTTTCCTAGTTTAGAAACATTGATTCACTTGCTCTAGGATGGAGTGCTTACTGAGTGTGTAAGTACAGGCAGGTGCAGTGCGCGCGCGCGTGCACACATTCTCAGGTACCTCATGCAGGAAAAGTGTACTCATTGTTCAGAATAGTCATAACTCAAGTTAACATTGTTACAGAGCTGTTAGACACACCTGAAGCAGTTTCCCTGCAGAAGCAGTGATCCTATAGCAATAGGAGCAGGGACATGGGCATGGTTTCTTACACTTGCTGTGTACAAGCCATATTTCTTTGAGAGGATGTGGGTGCCTACATTTGTTGCTAAGATAATCCTGTAAAAGTGTAAGGAGGAGGTTTGTGCAAGTTAGAGAACCAAAATGAACTGAATAGAAGTAGGAATTATGGAAGAATCAGGGAAGCTACATTTTTGTGGTCTCTCCTTTCGCTGTTTGCAGTTATGCCGTGCTGAAAGGAGGGACTTGGTTTCTAACTATGGCACCACGGTGCCACGCATTTTTAGGGCTCTTTCCTCCAGTCAGTGCTTTGTGGTATAATGCTGCATATCCTGTGTTGCGAAAAATAAACAGCCGTCAAGGAAGCATTATTTTGTTTCACAGGCAGAATAGTAAATGAATGTTTAGAAACTCCCTGTGTTAGAAAATTAGTGTTCTAGAGCAGCTCTTAAATTTTTTTCCTTCCAGTCCATGAGCATGGAGTATTTTTCCATTTGTTTAAGTTTTTAAATTTAATTCATATCTTCCAAAGTAATTTTAGCGATAAAGCCTCATACAAAAAATTTAAACAGGAAAATAAAATAAATCTTTACCTTTAATCTACCCTTTTTGGATTAAAACATTTAGACCAAATAGTTTACTTGTGTCTTACGAAGGCAAGTTATCAATTTGGCTTCTCTGGCTCAGGACAGAGCAAGTAAGTGAGTTGTGAGAATGATGCATTGCTGTCATTTGGACTGTATTTGGATGAAACATATGTTTTTGTTCTTCCACCACCTTTTGTAAGAGACATACTTTTGGGCTTCATTCCAGATACAAAGTCATCAAAAAGTGGTGTATGCCCACTAGGGTTTGTTTCCTTGGGAAAGAAAGACATTTTATTTGAACACAAGGCTCTTTGGGCAGTAAAATAGTTTTAGCCTTGGGATGGAGGTGGGATTGATCAGCACTTAGCAGTGTGGTAGGAAGACTAGCCAGTGTTGAAGGGCCGTATTTTAAAGCTCTCTCTAGCTCCTCCCTTTTCCCTTGAGATATGTGTCCAGTTCAGAAATGCCTACGGGGTCACACTCTGAAAGATAGATGTTTAGCGTGGGAAAGGAACCACCCTGTACACAAATAGCACAAATTATAGTAGAGAAACTGCAGATGGTAATCTAAAGTATATCTTAAAGGTACAGCTAGAAAGTGGTAATGTTGCTCACATGGGGACTTGCTCCAGAGAAGGTGGGGACTGGAAGGTCTTCTTTCTGTGTGTGGTATTACCGGTGGTGTCTTCCCGGGAATGCATTAATAGTGTCTTTTATGTGCCAAGAAGAGTTCACAAAAACTTTTGGCCCCCAGGTGCACCTTGTAACAGAAGGGGTTCCTGGCTGTTTATTTGTCGTGGTAAAGAACTAAAATTCAGATCTGTCTCTCCCTTTCAGGGACTAGCACATCTTCACATTCATCATGTGATTCACCGGGATATCAAAGGCCAGAACGTATTGCTGACTGAGAATGCAGAGGTGAAACTTGGTATGTGATGGCTGATACTTGCCCCTGGCACAGTCCAGAAACACTTCCTGCCTATTTGTATTGGACTGAAAGTTCAGTCTGTTACCCGTGTTTTGTTTCTGTTCCACTTAAGAATGTGGGAACAGGGCTTATTGCTCAGGCTGGCTCCAACCGCCTTCCTCCCATGCTTCTCCCTTCTGCTGTGTTCTCTGTATAGCAGCAGACCATGTCCCTTTCCTGCTGAAAGACTCTAGTGGCTTCCTGTTTTACTTTGGATTAAGTCCACATTTCTTACCCTGGCCCATAAAAAACCATGTAGAACCTGACCCTGGCTACTCTTCTTACCTCATTTTATGACATTCTTGCTTCTTTTTTCCCAGTCACTGTCATTTTTTTAACTTCTTGGATCTTGACTTGGAGTCTGCATATACTGTTTCCTCATTAGAAATACTTGACTTCAGTTTTGAAGTCACAATTTTTTCCTCGTTTTCAGGGGGCCTTCTCTGGCCCTCTGCTCTGTCTTGGGCCCTGCTGCTTATTTTCTTCATAGTAGTGCTGTTTGTAATTTGTAGTTATTTGTTTAATTGTATTTCTGTCTCCTTTACCAGAACATAAGTTCCAGAAATGCAGCAGCTGTAGGTGTCTATTCACTAGTGTATTCTTCTCCAGCTCCTAGCATAGTGACATCAGTGTGGGAGGAACTTGGTAAATTTCTGCGTGGATGGATAGGTACAGCCCATTGTGTCTTCCTGAGATGATTTTATAGTGGTTCTTCTATATTTCTTGCTTCCTTTAGCTGGGTCTGATCTTGTTCTCATCCCACTTTCATATCATGATTGTGTCAGATTGTGTCAAATTTTTAAACAGAATTTGCTTTAATTTTTCCTCCACTAAGGCATCACAAGAAAAATTCTTTATACTTATGTAGGTCTTGTCCACCTTTCTTTCAAAAATCATTGGCACATTTGTCATATTTAAAGATAAAGCTTTCATCGTTGCTTTCTTGCATAATGCTTATTTATGTTCATTGGTCTTCTATGGGGAATAGTCTGCCTGACTGGAAACTTCTCTCACAGCTAAGAGAGGAAACACATTGCTCTCATACCTGACACAGAGTGAGCTGTGTGTGTATTCCCTGCACTGGCATCTGGCTAGGCCTGTGAAGACATAATAGTTCCTGAGTAATCACGTAGTGAAGACTTGCTGTGTCCTTCCTTGCTGCTGTGAAACTTGCTTAGGCTTTCTGCGCTGACTCACGGCCCATGTGTCTGTCTCGAGAAGTGTTCAGCGAGCGAGTCCTCGCCTTGGCTAGGCCATTTGCTGAGCATGTTCTGCACACACAAGTTGAATCTGCCCTGTGGATCGTTCAGCACGTCCTAGGCCCTTTTGCACCAGCTCCTCTGTTTTTGCTCGCTCCTGCTGAGGGAATGACGGAGTGTGCGGTGATGCTGTTGGCAGGTCCTGACTGGCAATTGTTCCACTGAAGATCACGCCAACCCTGCTCCCATCTTTGAACTTTCTTCTGGACCACCGTACCATTAAATGGGGTGGGATATAGAAGTTCCTCTGAAAAATCAGCAGAAGTCCCAGGTGCTTTGGGGGATGTTCTTTGCATATTTGCAACGTAGCTCCATTTTCCTTATTGAACATAGTACTGTGTTCTTTCTGTGAAAGTCTCTATGGATTTCTTGTCTTTATATGGTTATTAGCCCGCTTAAGAAGCTAAGTCAAGTGGGTCTCAGTCCCTTCTTCTGAACTTGGGGTTAACTTGATTTTGCTTGAGGCAGGAGTGTTTTCGGAAAGCACTAAAGAAGGCATTCATCCAAGAAGCCCTCTGCTGGTCACTGTCAGGGAAGCTGAAGGAGGTGGCTGAGTCCAGACCTCCCAGGAGTTTGCAGACTTGTAGAGGATCTCACAGTCTTGGTGGCTTTACTTCTGCCCTGTGGACGATTGCAGATTCATGAAGCACTGCTGTTTTAGTTTACTGTGAAGACATCTCTTCTTTATATTTGTCTTGTTTGTTAATTATGTTTCACTTTTTTCTTTCTCTTCCTTCCACAGTTGATTTTGGTGTGAGTGCACAGCTGGACAGGACAGTAGGGCGGAGAAATACGTTTATAGGCACTCCGTACTGGATGGCTCCTGAGGTCATTGCCTGTGACGAGAACCCAGACGCCACCTATGACTACAGAGTAAGAAAGAAGCATCTGCTTTGTGTGCCTTTGCTGGGCTGCCGACATTCCTAAGGGATGAAGGCTTTGCTCACAATTTACACTCCCCTTGTCCCTGCCTGCTTTTCAGTGAGGAAGTCCTGGGCAACCCATTTCAGGTGCAAATTTTCCAGGATGGTGTTTAGATGCTTTTTTGTCCGTATTTTCTTACTAAGGAGTACACTAGTTTCAGGGCAGTCTGAAAAACATTGTTGTACCTAGAACTTTTCATCATGCACAAATTAAATGCTTTCATCCCTGTTGGCTGTCTTTTTAAAAATTTTGACTTGATAAATATATTAGAACCAAATATATATATTTAAAATATATTTAGAGTTATTGTTAAAGAGCTTTACAGCTTTGATTTGGTATACAAATATATTTGAATTATTAGAGTGACCTCTAGAGACTTGAATTAATAACGCACCTTTTTTATCTAATTGTAAAATTGATATTTGAGATCAGACTCAGGTTGACTATGTTTACAAAAATATTTGGGGAAAAAAGGCTAACAAAAAACCCTTGCTTTAATTAAATGAACCAGAGTAGGTAATGTACCTATTAATATTACAAATCGAGTTTATATTTTAATAATCTCTACTGTATTTTAATTCCTTCTATAAATTCCCAATTAATGAAGCTTAATTTAAGCCTAGCATGCAGAGGAATTTTTATTATTATTTTTTTAATGTGGAAGTATTTTAAAATAGATTACACTTTATGATTTTTTACTTTTTTTTTTTTTGAGTTGGAGTCTTATTCCATCACCCAGGCTGGAGTGCAGTGGCATGCTCACGGCCACTCTAATGTCAGTCTGCTGAACTCCGGAGATCCTTCTGCCTCAGCCTTGCAAGTAGCCGGAACTACAAGCGAACGTTACCACGCCTGGCCAATTTTTTGACTTACTGTAGAGACGAGGTCTCACCATGTTGCCCAGGCTGGTCTTGATCCTTCGGGCTTAGGCAATCCTCCTACCTTGGCCCCCCAAAGTGCTAGGATTACAGGCTTGAGCCACCGTGCCAGGCCGACTTTTTACTTTTTAATATGATATTACATGTCTCTAAAATTTGAAAATGGTTTCTAGCATACCCAAAATATTGCCACACCTAAGTGAATAAAAATAATTCCTTAATGCAAAGTTTATAATGAGACTTAGCTGGTTTGTCCAAACCAGTATGTAATGCAGGACAAGAAAGTGTATTTGTTCAGTCATCGAGTCTCTTTTCATCTAGAATACCTCTTGCCCTTTTTTTTTTTCCGTGTATGTTACTTGCTGAAGAGGCTGGGCCTGTTGTGAAATGTCATATCCTCTAGATATGTCTGACGAATTCTTTGTAATATCATTTTGCTTGTTTTCTGTATCCGGGAATGGCTCAGCTAGTGTCAAGGAAAACCTCGCAAGATCACCTCCCAGGAGGTGGGGGCTCTGCCTCACACCAGCGGATGTGTAGTGCTGCTCATCCACCCCTATGCTGCCAGGGGTATCACTGGGACAGGGTAGTGAGAACCCTTGCACCCTGGTGGTGCAGAAAACTGCGCGTCAACAGGGAAAGAATTCAGGGGCCTGTCTTTATTCTTGGATTCAAACATAAGGGTCTGAACTTTGTAATGTAATTATAGGTTATTTACAAAACTCTTAAACCAAGCAACTTTCAGTAATTCCTTGCTTAGGATAGCACATAAGCTAATGACAATAACTGTCCTTGGATACTTTTTTAAAAAAATTCTCTTTTGGATTTTAAGAACTATCACCCAATAAGACTTTTGTTCCATCAGCCAATGTTTATTGAGTGCCTACTGGATATATTCGGTTTCTAAATGTGACAAAATGTTAATAAAACAGACAAAAATTCCTGCCCTCGTGGAATTTATATTTGAGTAGGAAGTAAAGTTTAATTCACATTTTAAATTTAATACCTCAGAGGAATCAGAAGGACAAGATTCCATGCCCGAGAACCAGGTTACCGTTTGATTTGAAGGAAGGGTGAAGGTGCTCGGTAGCGTGATGCCAGCTAGTGAGTCACAGTAGATATGTGAGCTCAGTGCTGCACTTGTGTCAAGAATGCTTTCTGACCTTTACTCACATAAAATCTTAATTAGTTTCGAGTTATTGACAAAAAACGTAAAAATAAATATAAATCTGGGCTGGAAGTCTAACTGTTGGATGCTTATAAATAAATGAAGAAACATACTGAACAGCTGACCACGCACTGGGCATTTAGAGAGTGGCTTTTAAGTAGGCCTTCTCCGTTTCATTTGTAGATATGAGTGGTTTTAATTAATCAACTTTATCTTTTGTCATTCATTTATTCGTTCATTTGTAGGATATTCTACAAATGTTTATGTGCTTTTAATTTCCTGGAAAACTCTCTTTTGGTTAATGCACCAAAATTGTATAAATTGCCAGGAATGTAAGTTGAGTGCCTTTGTAGCTCTGTAGGATCCATAACATGGTGTTTATTTTTGCAGAGTGACCTTTGGTCTTGTGGCATTACCGCCATTGAGATGGCAGAAGGTGCTCCCCGTAAGTAACTGTCTTTCCTTTTTAGTCCAGGTGTTACCTGTGACTTAAAACCGTTCCCATACTTCAGAAAGAATAGCTGCATGGATAAAGGCATTTCTGGTGGAGTGTTTAGATGAAGGAATCACAGATACAGTAGTTTTAGATATAAAAAGAATTCTTGGCAACTACTTTTCCTTCTGGAGATCTTTAGGAAGTCTGTAGGCCACATTTTCTTTTTTTTTTTTAAGTTGTATTCACATGTGTGACCTGATATGCTGAAATGAGATAATAAATTGTCATTTTTCTTTTTACATTTTAAACTTAATATTCAACAGAACTGGTCCTGACACATGAAATCTTAGTATTACTTAAGTTTTGACTTTACAAATAGAGGCATAACTTTTTATCTGTAGAATAATTTGTGTGTGTTTTAACTGAAATTTTTTGAGTGTTTTGTTTCTCTTTTGGATTATGTTAATGAAAAACTTCTTAAAATTGACTGTTGATCAGAGATGGGTAGAATTACAGAGAACAAAGGAAAAAAAATTCCAGCATTTTCTGCTGGTCCGCCTAAAAAGTGGTATGCACAAAGAATATGTAACTACCTGGCACATGGTTGTTGCCGAATAAATACTTGTTGAATGAATGAAACAGCTGACAGCTGAAAATCAGTTTGCTATATAGAAGTGGATGTCTGCCTTCAACACTGTATGTTCTCTTGTGTTTCCCTCTAAGAAGTTGAGACAGGGAAGTACTGCTTGATCCTTTGTCTCAGTTTTCTTTCACAATGGGAATAGTATTGTCTGCTTCTCCAGCCCCCATTTCCCAGGTACCTTGTAAGATTCTCTTGAAGGTAAAAAAAAAACACATGAAAATGCACATTGCCTCTGGTGACAAATTAATATGTACATGTGTGCCTAACACACCTCTACTGGGGCAAGTGATAGGAATACAAATAGTAATTCCATAGAATTAAACAATTCATTTGATACTCACATTTGTGCTCTTTCATAGTAATACTAGCTATAACAGCACGCAGTTAACTTTTTTGGAAGGCTTAATTGTGCTTACTCTGTTCCTGGCATTGTGTAAAGGCATTTACAAGATCCCTACAACAACCCTATGAAAATATAGTCATTTTCATTGTAATTTACAGATGACTTAAAAACTTGTGTTAATTCTTTGAAGACTTTGGTTTATGAAAACTTTGCAGTGTCTATTTGAAATGGTATATTCTTCTTGTTGCTCCCGTCCTCCTATTTTGCTGTTTATAAATGAACTTCAAGGTATGCCCTACAGTTCATAGCTAGGTGTCTAGACTGCTTGATATGAAGCGTATCAATCAGATGATGGGCCAAAGCATTTGATGTTATTGATGAGTGAGCCCTAGAAGTCAAGAATGAGAGAAATAAGTGCCGTACTGACCCAGTCGTCTCCTCTCCCCAGCTCTCTGTGACATGCATCCAATGAGAGCACTGTTTCTCATTCCCAGAAACCCTCCTCCCCGGCTGAAGTCAAAAAAATGGTAAGCTATGTATGGTTTTGTCGCTGTTGTTGTTCTTTTCTTTTTTTAACAAAACATTGTTTCTTTTTAGTTTTACTTTCCTCTAAGACAAAATTCTGGGCCCTTCTAATTCCAAAGATAACAAGAGCTGGTACACCAGAACACAATTTACAAGTGCATTGATTTTTTTTTTTTTAAATGAGTTTTTTTCTTGAAAAATACTCTGAGTTGCAAAATGGTGACAAGTAACCATGTTGAACACCATAGCATGATTAAATAACAAAGTTCTACTTTAATATTAAAGCATTCTTTTAAGTATAATATACGTCTAAACATCTTTCCATTAAAGAAACAAAGCTGTGTTGACTTACAGTTCCTCAGATGAAATAGGATTTTAAGATCAATGGAGGCTTTTGCCATAATTATTTTATGAAAAAATTGAAGTTAGATATATTCTTTTCCATTCCAGGAGAGCACATTAACATAACGGTCTTTTCTTCTTGGGTTGCTACTTTCCTTCTCCTTCTAATTCTTACCCATTTGTCAAACAAAATACTGACACCCATGGAGGGAGAGGAAGATGACCTTCTTGAGAAAGCTTCCAGAGTTGCAGCATTGTGGGAACATGCTGTTGGATTCCTTGTAAAATCTCTAAGGGATAGGGCAGTGTTTGGGTTTTTACTGAAAAATTTGCCCCTTTGTTCCCTCCTGAACTTTTTTCTGGGTCCTCTTCTGCTGCCCTTTTTGTCCGCTCCCCAGCTCCTCATGCATGTGGGCCTTCCTTCCTTTTTCTGTTTCTCTCTTTTCCTGGGGGTCTATTATATTGATGCCTACCTACCATGGATTTTTTTAAAAAACTATTCTTACTAGTTTTTCAATTAATGTTGTCTTCTTTTAGGTTCCTGACTTTTATTTTGAAATAGTCAAAAGATCTCAGTTTGAGCCTTCTGTTCTGGATTTGACTTTTAGCTGTCACCGTTTGTTCTTTTCTTCTTGGCTTCTCACCTTCTGGTGTTTTGCACTTTTGTTTTCTCCTATGTGGGTGTGCACACACACATTTTCATACTAGTTTTCATCATGTTTCTCTGTTCCTCATTGTCCTTGCCCCAGTACATTTCACCATTTTTTTTCTCACCATTTTTCTGCTGGCAGAACTTTTCTTATTTTTTTTAATACTGTCTTTAACCACTTTTGACTCCAAATAATTAAGGTTGTCTCATTGCATTTACCCATTTTCAGAAAGGTTCTTATTGCCACATAGTTGCAAAGATTTCAGTCCCAGCTTGTCTCCTATAGTAAAGCATAGTAACTCTGGACATCCGTGGGTAGCCATTCCTAGGGAAATCAAGTATGTATGGTGGACATTACCAAGCAGTAAGCTATGAGGCTGGAGTAATTCTTTACCAGTTCATGCTAAACTAAGAAATACTTATTTTTCCTTTTCTCTCAGATTTTGACAAAAGTCTATACTGGAAGGATTGCTGAATTAATGCTGTTTTGGGGTATCTCACACTCTGATTATTCCATCCATTATTTACAGTTTTGGATCAACCACTATGCATCCAACATACAGTGATACAAAGAGACAGTGGTTGAAAGCAATAAATGCTTCTTCTGTTCTTATACCATGCTTTCTTTAAACATGATTAGATGTAGCATTCATCCATTTATATCATTGTCTCATGTTATTCAAGTATTCTAAAGGGATGAGATGATCACAAACATAAAATCCTTCTTCCTTTGTGATTGCTGTGCTCTGTCCACCACACGTTAATTTCTACGATTGTTTTTGGAGAAGAATCTTTCAGAAGATGATCGTTGTCCTCTCTTCCAGCAGAACGTGGTAGTTGATTTTAGAGCATAGAATATAGATAATCGATTCCCAAATGTTAGTCTGCAGACATAATACCTGAGAAAACTTTGGAATTGTTTAATTAAGGGTTATAGACTCAAAAGTTTCTGGTCTGGGGGTGACTCAGATATTTGCGTTTTTAATAATCTCACCAAAATGTTCTTTGTGGACTGGGGTCTAGGAATCTCCATGTTAGAGCATTTCACTATATCATATAGAATCTTTCATGTCCCTTATTAAACACAGAATAAATTAGCAGTTTCTTCGAATGTCTTTGAGGCTTTTCTCTGAGCTGACCCTGACCTACTTTTCCATTCTTTTTCACTTTTCATCCTAGCCTCAGGAAATGGCTCATTATTCTCTGACACTTTCCTACCTTTGTTCATGTGGTCCCTTCACTGTAGAATACTGTCTTCTTTCTCCCATCTTATGAATATCAAATATCCTTTTTCTTGATGTGAAATCCACTGTAACAATCTTGGGGTTTTTTTTTCCTCCTCTGTAGGTTTGGTTATACATCTGCTATTGTATATACCTACATTTCCTCCACTTTATTTCCTATGTGTATTCCTTAAGAGCCTTACATAAATGCAAGTAGTCGGTACATAAATATTTGTTGAATTGAGAAAAAAGTAAGTTTTAATGGAAATAAAAGAGAATATAAATGATTCTTAAAAGCAGTGAAGTAATTGGAAAGAACTGAACTAATGTTCCAAATCATGTTTTTAAAGACTGAATATCTCATTCATTCAACAAAAATTTATTCTATACCTGTAGTGGTGTGCCATGCTTAGTGTTGTGCATTGCTGACATCTTGAAAAACAGGAACCAGTTCTGACCTGTATTATTTTAAACCACCCAGCAGAGGAGCCAGAAACACAAAGTATACAGTTTGTTAAAAGCAGATACCCCCAGAAGAAAAGCTTCTAGCTTGGGGCACATAGGGTAGAGTGTTGCCAGAAAGGTTTACCAAAAGTGATGATTCCTGAATTGAGTCTCAAAAGATAGGATTGGTGGGAGTATCTTGACCAAGGCTAGGGCTGCAGTCATTATGAGCCTGGTTTGGAGAGGCAGGCAGAAGTAAAAGTGGCTAGTCTGGCTGTGAGGTGGCAGACTCGTTGTCCCCCTAAAAACTATCATGTCTGTCTTTGTACATGAACTGATAAATTGACCAGTTTGAAACGCTGGCCAGAGTGTCAAATTAACAGGTTAAAAAGTCTGCATTTGGTCAAAGATTCGGCTCTTTTTCTCATTTCATTGTCTGTCCTTGTCTTCTGGGTACCAGACATCTATACTTTCTCTCTGCCTTCATCTTAACAAAGACTTCCCTCTGCCCCCTTGCCTCCTCCACCCTGTGATTAAGTGATTCGTGAGCAATATTAGATTTAAACCCAGTTGCTTTAAATCTGATTACCTTCATAGATCCCTGTTTGGGGTGTGTTCTCAGTGATGTGGCGCAGTTCTTAAACTTTGCTAAATTAATGCTCCTAGTCCCCAGCAGTCCTGAGTTCCTGTTTACGTTTCGTACATGATTCCTGTGCATTGACAGAATGTTCACACTGAGTTCTGAAAGTTCTTCTTTGTTTTCAGGCTTGTAAGGTACTGATGTTTTGTAGCTTTACTCTGTGGTAGAAATATGATGACTTTTTTTTTTTTTTACTTCTTACAGGTCAAAGAAGTTTTTTAGTTTTATAGAAGGGTGCCTGGTGAAGAATTATATGCAGCGGCCCTCCACAGAGCAGCTTTTGAAACATCCTTTCATAAGAGATCAGCCAAACGAAAGGCAAGTTAGAATCCAGCTTAAGGATCATATAGACCGGACCAGGAAGAAGAGAGGAGAGAAAGGTAATTAAGCTGTTTTTGTTATCATCTTTTACAGTATAATTTCTAGGTTCTTGCCAACTAGAATGGGTCACTTCTTTCCCACCTGTGAGATTGTGCTCACCTGGATAGTGCTCACGTAGTCTGTCTCTGGCCTGGGGCCCAGCCTGGTTCCAGGTAGAGTCAGCAGAGTTTTGTGGTGTGTCTCCAAGCTGATGCCAGTTAGATAGGCATTGTGGTGGGTCAGTACGGGGCATTTTACTTGGTGTTCCTCAGGGGCACATCATTGTTGCTGCTCCTTTTACTTCATTGTATATGTGTTTGTGGTCTGTTTCGCTTGGGGGCTATTTTGCACACGTCACCATCAGTGTGTTTATTTTCCTGTTCATCCTCTTTCCAGTGCCCCCACCCACCAGGTTTCTTGCTGCTCTACTCTGCTCCAGGTGGTGTGGTTAAACCTGGACCACATGCACACTGACTAATTTGCTCTTGTTAGAATACACAACAGAAGCATGCCCTTGTGCTAATTACTTAAAGTTCCTTTCTGTTCCCAGCGTCCTTGTATATCTTGGCATGTACTGTGCCCATCTTCCGACATGTCCACTTTTCCTTCTGTCCAGCTTGTTGCAGTTCATACTTCATCACTGCATTTGTTTAACCCCCTTCTCTGAGGCTGCTCACTCACATTGATCTTTCTGTTCTGTGGAGCCTTACAGTAGTAACTTTATAGAACTTTTGGGTAACTGGCATCCTATTAATGAATTTTTTCTGACACTCAAATTTCAAGGCCAGAGAAGAAACCAAAAAAGAGCAAGTTCAAGGCAGTGAAAGAGTTGGTCAGTCTTTCTGGAAGCCTGTACTAACCTCTGCATGTTCATTTGAATCTTACACAACTTTGATATTCATAGTTAAGTTAACATTGATCTTCAAAATAACTTTTTTCTCTGATATATTTAGAAATAATTAAGCTGTGTACATCAAGCTGTGCACTTGAAGCAATGTAAAAGCTAAGATTTTTTTCTTAACTTGCAGTTGACATGGTAGTCCATTTTTGGAAAAAGTTATCTGCACATTTGATCAGTTTCTCATTACTTAGTAATAATAGCTAACATTCTGAAACATTTCGGACATCTACTAGCTACTTAACTTGGATCATCTCATGCATTCCTCATTATCTACACTTGCAGATGGAAACAGTGGAGCACTTTCCCTTCCTCTCAGTCTTCAAGTCACAGCCTTTTCTTTATTTTCTCTTTGGGTTTACCTTTCATATACACTCAGCCTCTTGTCAATAATTAGTAGTTTATAGTACATTTTAAACCCAGCAAAATACCTATTTAAAGGATTCTTTTAAAGATTATTTAAGATTTTAAAAATTTAAGATTTTTAAATTTAAAGATTATTTAGGTTGGAATTTTCCTTAGAAGCTAGCATATATCTATATGTCTATTAAAATTATGTAGCCTTGGTTGTCTACATAGAGAAGAACTAATGTCATATGTATAAACTGACGAATTTGTCCTGACCCTTCCTTGCTTTAAAGTGCTCGGCCCTTTTTTCTTACTAGGTCGCTGATTTTCATCTTATACAGCTTTGAGAAAAAAATAGAAATGTACTTTTTGTGTGTGTTTTTACATCTCTTCAACCTATCTGATTTTGATTGCTCTCTGGAGTGAAATTGCTCATTGAAAGTTGGATACTGACATTAAGTGAAGGAGTCCATAAAATGACCCATTATTTTTAGGAAAATGGTACAAAATCTATGGAAGTGAAAATGAGTTATTGCTGTTGAAACTTGAAGTCTGGTCTGTGTAGAGGAATTTTTGTCTCATTCTTTTGTTTAATGGGCTTTTCCTGGTTTCACCTTTTATAATTTATGGGAATATTTGGCTTTGTTTTCCCTGTTCAGTACCTACTCAGTGCTTCACATGTTGTCCATCAAGTAGGCTTTTCTTTGCTGCATTCTCAGTGGATCTCAATTGCTAAAAATAGCCAGATAAATCCTCATGGTTGCCTTAGCTTCAGCAATTCCACCTCTCTCTTGAATTTTGTCATCAAAGTAGACTTCTGCAACTTTGTGAGCACCTTTGGGCCACTTTCTTTTGTGTCAAGGGCTCCAGAGCCCTTCTTCCAGTCCTGTCTCCCCTCAGCAGTGCTTCCTGGTGAAGGCTTGTCTTGCGTGCTTGTGGGACTGGCTCTTTGGGGAGCAAGGACAACTCAGGGAGTTGTCAGCATGTTCAGTATGGGAATTCAATACATTGCCCCCCAAGTTCTCCGTGCAAGTGGCTGTTTTCACAAGGAAAATGTTACTGATTTTCTGCCATCATACCTTTGGTGATGCTTGTCTGACAGCATGTGTCAGGCCTGCGAACTGTCCCATTTATCTTATCCTTTTCTTCATAGATGAAACTGAATATGAATACAGTGGGAGTGAGGAAGAAGAGGAGGAAGTGCCTGAACAAGAAGGAGAGCCAAGGTAACCACAGAACCACGGATCAGTGTCCTGCTTTGTGAAGGGGCTAAACCGCATGTTGGTGCTAGAATGTCAGAAGACTTCTGTGTGGTAGAAGGAGTCTTCAGCTAGTTTGAGTGCGCCTTACTGTGTTCATTCTTCTCTATTCTTTGACAGAGTCCTGTAAACATTTGTCTCCCCTTGATTTCCATACCCAGTGGTTCTTTACCAAGGAATGAGTTGTGTCCTTTCTCTTGGTCACTGAGAGATGTTTGGAGCTGGGCAGGGAGATTGACCCAGCATTTATTGCTCCAGGAGGCATGGATGGTAAAGGTCTTATGACTTGTAGAGAGCATCACTACGCATAAAGAATGGTCCTGCTCAAGAGCCAGCAGGACTTCTGTTGAAAAACTCTGCAGTCTTTCCTGAAATGTCTTTTTGGAGGAGAGCTGCTTGTCCCACAATTGTTGTTACCAGCATTTGAGTTACTCTGCTAGGGTGTGTCTGTCCTGATTTTTTTGTGGTTTGTGTTTTGGTTTATCTCTGGCTTCCCAAGGTTTAGTAAAGCAGAAAATTGAGGAGTCAAAATTAGTATCATGAACCTCATCGTAATTGATTAATTGGAGAACAGAGGATTTTTGGATTTTAACCCTTTGTACTTGAAGACATCTTGTGGATCACCTACCAGCAACTCAAGTGCACTTTTTAATGAAATAGTGAAAAATTAATCACTTCATATTAAATAGTGTAGTGTTGGAACTCACTATTTTATTGTAATGATATTTTGCTTATGATGGAAGTTTGGACATCGAGACACTTATTTATGACAAAAAAATCAAAATTTTGCTGCTTATGTTTTTCTAATGTGTGGTAACATATGAAACAGTCACCGATATGCATTGCAGGTTCATTGATATATGCTGTGCAATAGTAATTTGTTTGACATCTTCCACCTGGTATTTTCCTATTCGAGCAGACAATGCTGTCTCATTTTCTTCCTCCCACATTAATAGTATGTAATGGATTGTCCAGTCTCTTGTTTGAAGATGATGTCCAAGGACGTACTCACGATTCCTGAAAAGTGCTTCTCAACTGATCAATCAGAAGCTTGACAAATTTCAAATGGGACATAGATTTTCAATTGTTTTTGAATAGAAAACTTCAGGGAAACATACATTTTTTAAAAATACACAAACTAATAATGTACTTGTTTATTTTCATTATCAAATATGTATTAAACCTTCTGGGAAACATACATTTTTTAAAAATGTGTGCTTGTACTAATTTGTCCTATATAATCATCAGCAGTCTCTTTACGTTCCCTAAGAGGGGACATCCGAGTGGTTTGCCAGATTTATGGTATCCCCTTAGAGGGTTAATAATGGGCTGGCCTGGCAGTCATTGCTGTTGCAGCTACGCACAACTAATTAATTGGACAAAGGGAGGCTGGAAGGGTACATTGAGAAACTTGTGGGAAGCCATGTGCCAGGGGATGGGAGTTTGAAGAGGGATAAGATAATCTGTTGAAGAAACTCCTTATGGAGAAGATTTGAATCCTTTTTTTAGACTAAAAATTGTAGAGGAATTGGAGCTGATTTCATGAGCAACATAATTATTTTTGAATAGGAGTATGACATAATGAGTGCAGTAATTGAAGGAGATTTGTTTTCCTTGTTACTCTGGTGGTGTGGAAGGAGAGGAGCAACTCAGCAGGGAGAGCAGCTAGGGTTGTTGCTGAGTGATCTGTGTAATGGCTAATTCATGGGACCACTTGGGATCAAGTGCTGACCTTGGAAACCGAGAACGTGGGAGGGAACCCATGGGTGAGGCCTGGTGCCTGACTAGACGAAGATGAAGGAACGGTAAGTCCTGGAGAGCTCTGATGTTCTGTTTGCTGAGGGAAAACGCGGTGCTTAAAGGAGGCCTGGTGAAGTGAGAGAAAGTGATTTCATTTTACAGAGTTTGAGTTCTTATGAGAATCCTAAGCAGAAATGTTGAGACATTTGCTAAACGAATGAAGGAAGATGTGGGACTGTCGAGTTGTAGATAGAGTCACTCCTGTGGATGTATCGGTTGCCTCCCTGGAGTCGGAGGAACCCAAAACGAATGTAGAAACGGAATAGGGTGCTGGTGCCGCTGTGCCACTCAGAGGACAATGGTCTGCACACTCCTGAGCGCCCTGCTTCCTCCTACAGTTCCATTGTTAATGTGCCTGGTGAGTCGACTCTTCGTCGGGATTTCCTGAGACTACAGCAGGAGAACAAGGAACGTTCTGAGGCTCTTCGGAGACAGCAGTTACTGCAGGAGCAACAGCTCCGGGAGCAGGAAGAGTATAAAAGGCAGCTGCTGGCAGAGAGACAGAAGCGGATCGAGCAGCAGAAAGAACAGAGGCGGCGGCTGGAAGAGGTAGAAAAAGGAAAACGTCCAAGTTTGGTCTTTTCTCTTTCTGTAATCGCATGGGTAGCCAGGCCCTCAGTGCAATGTTCTCTGTGGCATCCTGAGGTACTAACTTCCCAAGGAATGCTTGTGCTCGGGATGGGCGGCCCTTCGTGTGTTCCTTGAGGCCTTGAAACGTTTTTCTTCCTTGTCGAGACCTTAAGGGTTTGCCCCACAGTTACTCATCAGCATGTGGTGCTAGATACAGAGCGGTGTCTCAGAGCTGGCGTCAGGCCCGTTTTGTGGAGGCTGTTTCCGTTGCGGCTTCAGTTGGCTTGCTTAGGCTTGACCTGGTTTCTTTTCCACTCTTGGCCTCTGGGGCTCAGTTTCTGCGTAATATTTTTCTGAAACTTCCGACTTTTTCACATGCAAAACATTTTTCTCTGAGTGCCAACTTCAGCTATGTTTCAAAGTAAGGAAACCGGGCTCGGTGGCTCAGCCTGTAATCTCGTACCTTTGGGAGGCTGAGGTGAGTGGATTGGCTGAGCCTGCGGGTTTGGGACCCGCCTGGGCAACTTGGCGAGACCTCGTCTCTACAATAAATCAAAAAGTCAGCCGGGCGTGGTCGCACGTGCCTGTAATTCCAGCTACTCGGAAGGCTGAGGCGGAAGGATCGCGGGAGCCCAGCAGGTCGAGGCTGTGGTGGCCAGGAGCGGCCACTGCACTCCAGTCTGGGCGACAGAGTGAGGCTCCAACTCAAAAAAATAAAAAAATAAAAGTAAGGAATGCAGAAAACAATTTTGATGTTGGGATCAGTGTTATGTCCTATGGTGGGGAAGTACATTTTGCGCTACCTCCTCATTTAACTCATTAATATTATTAACATTGGTACTATGATTACCTATAGTTTTTTCAGTTTTAGTTTACAGAAATATATTATTTCCCTGTACAGTCATGGGTCGCTTAACGATGGGGATACATTCTGAGAAATGCATCGTTAGGCGATTTCATCATTGTGTGAACATCATAGAGAGTTACAAACCTAGATGGTACAGCCTACTATGCACCTAGGCTATATGGTATGGCCTGTTGCTCGTAGGCTACAAACCTGTACAGCATGTTACTGCACTGAATACTGTAGGGAACTCTAACACAATGGTAAGTATTTGTGTGTCTAAACTTAGAAATATAATTTTATGAGATCACTGTAGTGTACACAGTCTGTTGTTGAACAGAATGTTTTGTGATGCATGACTGTATTTCACTGGGGGGGGTCAAAAATGCCTTCTGATTTTTTTTTTCTTGACTCCCTACTACTGCATAGCTTACAGCCCCATTTTTGTCCTTCGTAATCATTTCTGTTTTTACTTAATTCACACACCTGATTGTTTCACCCTTATCTTTCTCCTCTAGAAAAATAACTCAACAATACCAATAAAGTCCTATTTTGGTATTATCCAGTGGAGTTTAATCCAAATAACAACACATGCTCTTACCCAACTTATTTAACAGTACATATTGGCATGAACTCTTTATTTCATTTTGTGTCCTTGTAGTCTGGGTTCTGAAAACTCTATAATTTGCCACTTGCCTAACTAAGGAGTCTGCAAATATTCAGCCAGGGCTATTAGAAGAAAACTTAGGGCACACCTTCCCTTGTAGTAGAGACAACTTGACTGTTTATATCACTCTTTCGAGTTTATTTGCTTACTCCTTGCCATATTTTTGGAAGACTCTTCTCAGAAGCCCTGAATGGGTTCAGAGGTTTGTTCACGTTACATATTGACTGTTTATACTTATCATGTTAGAATGCCTGAGTTTGGGGACTCAGGCTGTTTCTGGTTTCCTACTGCCCTTTCTGATACTGGGATATACTTTCCTTAAGCAGGTGGCACAGGTTACTTTGGTAGTTTATAACTTGAAATGCCAAGGACCACATAAGGGTAGAGCTTAATTGTAACAGTCTATGGAAGTGGCTTTCAGATTGTCAGTAGTGCAATGAGCTTCCAACTTCTGTGTGTGTTAGGTAGTGAGGACTTGGGGAGGAAGTGGGTGTGGCTCAGGGTGAAGAACTCAACTTTTATAGCCATTTTGTGATGATAGTGAATTAGGTATGTCTGTGAAAACAGGAAGTTTGTACTTGACGTGGTTCAATTAGCCTTTTAATTTCAGATTATTTAGAATAAGTTTAAACTCACAGTCACCTCTTTGAGCCTCTTTTCTTAATTAGGAAAGATTAAGTACTGAAATGAGAAATGTTCACACAAGTAGAGTCTACTGGTGTGAATTCTTGGTACTCTAGCTCCTTGTTATTAGCCTAACTAATTAAACTTTGAATATGCTCCAGGTCTCAGAAAGGTATTTGGGAATATAGTTCTCCCTTGGTATCCATGGGGGACTGGTTCCATGACTTCCCATGATACCAAAATTGCACATGCTCAGGTTCCTGATTTAAAATGGCCTAGTGTTTGCATTTAACCTGCACACAACTTCTCATATACAGTCATGCACTATATAATGTTTTAGTCAACAACAGACTACGCATATGATGGTGGGTGGTCCCATATGATTATAATGGAGTTGAAAAATTTCTATTGCCTAAAGACGTCATTGCCGTATAGTGTGTTAGTGCAACCCATCACTCTGTTTGTGGTGATGCTGGTGTAAACATATCACACTGTGCTGCCAGTCATATAAAAGTCGAGCACATACGATTATGTATCATACATAATACTTGGTAATAAACAACTGTGTTACTGGTTTGTGTGATTACCATACTATACTTTTCACTGTTATTGTAGAGCATACTCATTCTATTCATTTAAAAAAAAAGTTAATTGTAAAACGTGCCCAGGCAGATCCTTCAGGAGGTATTCCAGAAGAAAGCATTGTTATCACAGGAGATGACAATTCCATGCGTGTATTGCCCCTGAAGACCTTCCGGTAGGACAAGATATTGAGGAAGAAGACAGCAATATTGATGCTCATGACTCTGTGTAGACCTAAGCTAGTATGTGTCTTCGTTTTAATAGGAAAATTTTAAAAATAAAAAAAAAACCATACATTTTTTATTAGGAAAAGTTTGTAAAGTATAAATATAAACAAAGATGTTTTTGTACAGTTGTACAATCTATTTGTGTTCTAAGCTAAATGTTACTACAAAAAAAAAGTTTATAAATGAAAAAAGTTACATTAAGCTAAGCTAATTTATTATCGAAGGAAGAAAAACATTTTTTAATAAATTCACTCACCACTTACTCACTCACTCACCCAGAGCAACTTCTAGTTCTGCGAGCTCCTTCATGGTAAGTGCCTTATACTATTGTGCCATTTTTATCTTTTATACCAACTTTTTTTTGCTGTACCTTTTCTATGTTTAGATATATTACTACTTAACTCCTGTGATACAGTTAGTGTTCAGTATAGTATCATGCTGTACATGTTTGTAGCCTACGAGCAATAAGCTATATCATATAGCCTAGGTGTGTGGTTGACTATACCATCTAGGTTTGTGCAAGTACACTTTCTGATGTTTGCCTGGTGAAGAAATCGCCTAATGACACATCTCTCAGAACATATCCCCGTTGTTAAGCAATGCATGACTGTACTTTAAATCATCTCTAGGTTACGTATGATACCTAACACATTGTTAATACCAGGCAAATAGTTGTTATATTGTATTATTTAGGGAATAATGACAAGAATAAAGAGTCTGTACACGTTTAGTACAGATATAGTTTTTTCAAGAGTTTTTGATCTGAAGTTGGGATGTGGAACTCATGGATATAGATGGCTGACTGTATTTGAGTCAATGTAATTGGTTTGCAGCCTTTTACTGGCATTAAAGGTTTAGTCAGAGCTATTTGGGGGGAGAGAGTCTTTATTTTATGAACAACATGGGTAAAGATGGTCAGCATCACTCACGAGGTAAATGACAATGAAAACTAAAAGGATACGTAACAACTTTGTATCAGCAGACTGGCAAAAATGGTCCCAAAGTCAAGGCTATGGGAAAACACAGTGCAGCTATTTTTTCTTTGTATCTGCTACAAATCAGGCCCACTGAGGTTGAGGATTTCTCCTGCCAAACACTCCTGCTTCTTTGCAGGTGAGGGGTGGTGCTTTTGTCCTCCATAGCTTGTTCATCTTTAAGAAACATATACATTCCTATCTTCCCACCCTCTCTTGGTGCTCTCTGGAATCTACTATTGACTGTACCTCTTTCCTCTGCTTCTCTGCATCCTTCTCTCTGGCCCCTGTGCTAACTGGGTATCTTTGGAAGTCCTTGCAAATATTTTGGAATCTGTCTCTCAGTTTTGCTGAAAATGAGATTCTTGTTTTCTATTTTTCTTGTTTTGTTTGAATGGTCCCAGGGAAAGAAAAAAGAATACTGAGCCCGTGTTTACTATGGAGAGTTCTGTCACGTGCTCTTTCCTTGTCCCTCCTGGTCTATGTATTGACTTTGCTCCCCGAGTCTTTCTCTTCTGAGCACATTCATGTATTGTCAGTTTAGTGAATTATTCAGATTTAGAAAAGGATAACGATCTTCCTCCCTCAAAAAGTTGTAATACTATGTTTCCTGTTTAGAGCATCATCACACACCTTTGACTCTTAGAGGACTTTAGATAACTTTTTCACAATTTTATTCATAGGCTAACTTTTTTTTCCCATTCTTTACTTAATTGTTTATTAGGAAAAATTTATATATTTAGTTGTAGTGTCACTGTATCCCAGTGGTTTTGTGCTCTTTTTTCATTGAATCATGATCTCAATCTGTTTCTCCCTATTCTTATGACATTCACACATGTTTTCCTGGTTCTTCATGTAAGTTTAATAAAAAATATTAAACAAGATGGTGTCCTAGAGAAAACCTGATTAGTTTTCTATTCTTGAACACTACTGATAGGATATTCAAACTTTGCCTATCTAAGAATCTTTTTTGCAGGTTTTTTTTTTTAATCTCCTGTCTTTATGAACTTTCCTTTGAAAGTCTTTAGCCCTGAAATATATAAGTTGTCATTTTGTGATTT